TAATTCTGTAATCCAAGTCTTTGACAGATATGGGAACAGTAACTGTGAACTGCAGGTAAGACCGACAGTGCTAGACAGAGTCTAAAGTTGGATGCAAGAAATACCAGGAGATTCCTGGAAGCCCTGTGCCTCCATGGAAGAAGTTTCTAAATGTGGCATCCAGCAAGCAGTCACTTGTAACATTCCTCTGAATATATTGTTCAAAATGCACCTGTGTGTAGGAGCACACCCAGCAAAAACGCTCCTCCTTGCTGGAGGCTTTTCCAATGGTGAAGCAACAAAGTCCATCACCAGTAGAAATGTTGAAGAAGCCCAGGGCTTGTACATTGCTCAAGAGGAAACAGACACCAGCGTGCTTCTGCATGCTGCTTGTGCCAATAGGGCTTTTTTTCTATTGGTGTGAAAGGAACCATAGTAATTAGGTAGGTCACCTGATACAGATATTTTGGTCCTTGCTGTTCACTACTTTCAGACACCTGACCTGTCAGTACAACTGACAAGTATTACTTTATACCTGTGCATGCAATCTGTGACACACTCACTCCTGTCTTGTGCAAGATACTTTCCCCTGTACATGCATTAACAGGGTGTGACTCTGTCTTCCTTATTTGGTTTGGGGCAGGGAGGGGGATTTGACAACATTAAACACAAACATAAGGAGCTTTCTGCTTAAGAGATCTTGCTAAACTGGGAATGAATGACGGACAAGGCCCAATTTCTGCAGCAAGAAAGTTGGTAGCAGTGCTGTATGACCAGGCCAAGAAAGAAAAGGACACTCAGAGACTTCAATTGCTTGTGTCTGAATGTAGCTATCAAAAAGGACAAGTCACTGGCCAAACTCCCACCATGTGAGACAGTTTTGAAGAGCATGTCAAAAGAGGCATCTTTGCAAACAAAGATTTGGATGTCTTCTCGCCAGATACTGGATCACCATTGCAAAATAGATAGAAAAATGTGGATGATGAACTACTTCTATATTTCAAGGGCCCAATGGCACCCGAGCTTCTACAAAACTTATTCGGGTTTGTACCTATAGAGTTTGCTGCACAATCAACTATGTCACAATCTTCCCTGTACAGAACCATGTTCATGCCAAGGCAATGAAGACTGTGATAACCCTTGTTGTCTTGGCAGAGATCATAATGATTAACAAGATGATGATGATGTTGACTAGAAATGTCACCAGTGCTATTATATTTGAATGATACTTGTGCAAATTTAATAAGATTGTTGTTATGCTTTGAGGTCAAAAATCTAATTTGGTCTCTCCAAATTATAAATAGTCATTAAACTAACAAATTAATGCACACATTTCACCATGGTCATTTGAAAGTGTTGATGTTATTTTTTATCCCTATTTTTATGGTAACAGCACTACTTGATAGCACCACATCATACTTCATCTTAAGGTAGACATAATAAGCTTTCAAATTTATGTATGATGTGCATGTGTAGAGAGGGTGCATTACGTCAACCAAATTGGTGGTGTCTGCTGCTCACCTAAGGAAATGAGGGCCTCGACAAGATTTCTAGCTGTGTGTATAGAAAGGAAAAAATCAAATCTTAAGTGTTATGGGAGAAATGGCAAGATATGGACATGGCCATGATGGTGAGGCTCAAGAGATAGGAATCAGATTCATGTGCTGGGGAGTCAGGTATAGTGGTATTGTCAGCAGTGTTAGAAGATAGAGATGGGGTAGGTATGGGTCTAAAGAGTTCACGTTTGATCCCTGTTACTGGTGATCTATCCAAACAGGCTCTAGGTAGGCTGAGATGTGGGAACGGTCAGGAGTGGAAAGGCTATTCTGTAAGTTGCCACTCTAAAGACAGTAGTTGAATCTATGTGATATGATGAGCTCATCTAAATAAAAGAGGAGGAGGAGGAGGGGCCATAAACCGAACTTTAGGAAAGCAGGAATATAGTAGGATTACCCATTTAAAATACACTGAATCTCCAAAGAAGTAAGAGGAGAACCAGGAGAGGTCAGAGTTGCTGGGGACAAGATGCCATGAAAGGAGAGTATAACTGTATTAAAAGCAGCAGAAAAGTCAAGGAGAAATGGGATGGAATAGTGGCCCTGAGAGTCTGGTGACAGCAGTTTCAGTGAAGCAGAGTGGAAGCCAGATATGGGCTGGGGGTGATCTGTGGTGGAGCTGGAGGAGAGGACCACAAGGCAATGATTGTAAATGGTGCATCCAGTGAGTTTAGAAATGAAGACTAAAGATGGACCCAAGCTTGGAGTGGCCAGAGAGATGAAGGATCAACATTTTTGAGGCTGTAAGGACACTGAGTATGCTTGTATTGTGGGGGCAAGGAGCCAGAGAAATGATAGGGGTGTGGGGGGGAGCAGTGGACCCCTGGGTGCGTCTAAATGCTTTTCTTAACCCCTTCTACAGTTTTTAGCTGGTGGATGCTGCCTATAGCATGAGTACAGTGACAGTCCTTCAACTGCCTTTAAGTGTTTATTCAAATTAAGAATAATAGGTTTGATTCTCATGCACTCTTCGCTGCTCTGGCAGTGTAACTTAGCCTTATAGAGGGTGAAAATTACTTTCAGGCGACTTCATGTTGCCAAAGCTGTGTAGAGTGGCCATAACATAAATGACAATCTGGTCCAGTTTTGTGTGTGTGTTGGGCTTTTTGTTCTTTTGGTTGGGGGTCTGCACATGGTGGAATTCATAAACTGCCCTTTCATGAGATGGTCATCTATCCAAACAATAATTGGGGAGATTTTTCATATCCAGGTAAATCTCTCTTAGCAGCTTGCTTTTATAAAGCTTTCCTTCTGCCTTTGCAGAATACAGAGCCTAAAATCTCCCCCAGTCCTTTCTTCCTAAAAATTACAAACTGCTCTGAGAGTGAAACTGGGTTCTTCCCTTCGTATGCATCAGTGCCGGTAATAAAAGTTCTGCATAGTGAATTGTGCCTTCAGTTACATCTGTGCAGCCCCAATGTCTTTGGCTTTTGCCCTCAGTGATAAAATTAGTAAGCAGTTTTAATGTACAAGAAAGAATGGAATCCAATTCCCTTGCTTGTAGTTGTGTTGGATGTGCATTACCAATCAAATTAAAAAGTTGTCAAAACTTACATTTGCCCATGAGGGGAGCAGGTATGCCTCCGAATACACAAAAAGAATAGGAGTACTTGTGGCACCTTAGAGACTAACCAATTTATTCGAGCATAAGCTTTTGTGAGCTATAGCTCACTTCATCAGATGCATCCAATGAAGTGAGCTGTAGCTCACGAAAGCTTATGCTCGAATAAATTGGTTAGTCTCTAAGGTGCCACAAGTACTCCTATTCTTTTTGCAAATACAGACTAACACGGCTGTTACTCTGAAACCCATCCAAATACACAGGAGCAGATTTATTTAGTAAGAAAGTGCCTTTTGTACATGGTAACTTTTCAGAGTAAAAACACACTTCCAGAACTCTAGAACGTATATAGACAGGTCAGATATCCATATGAATATTGTTAAGCCAGTTGGTTACATTCAGCAGTTAGTGAGCTTGTGGAGTCCCCAACTTGACTTAGTTGGCGTGGATATAATCTCACTAAGCTGTTTTTGCTCTTTCCTCTCATACTGAGGGTCATGAGGAGCAGTCACTCCTTACTAAGTGCTCTTGCTTGTGGAATTCTAAATGTGTTGCTCTTGTCATCTGTTGTGCTAAAGTTATGGGTGAAGCTGCCAGCTCTACTTATTGTAAACAATTTCCAGGATAAAACCCTGCTCTGTTACTTGTAACTTTGCCAAACTACAGCCATTTGGGCTGAAATTTTCCATGCTGGGTTTTTGTCTCAGGCCAAATCTTTTTTTTTTTAATGTGTTTTTCTACAAAAACTGTTCAGCCATTTATGAGAGCAGAGAGGAAAATACTGTGTTTTGTCAATGTTAGTCTTACCATGGTTTCACAAAGAAGCTGTAGCACCTCTCAGCCTAGAAGCAGGGTTTGAAATTTGGCAGGGCAGGGGCTCTAAAGTCAGATGCCTTTTGCTGTTTCCATGAAAATGCACCAGATCTGCCTGAGTTATAAGCCTCTGAATGGCCATATGCAAATGCTCAGAGACTCGTTAGCATTTGGCAGCTAAATTCTCCAAAGATTTTTGTCTGCACTGAGCATGTTCTAGCCCAGGACTGACCAGGACTTTTCCAGCAGTTGCTCATCCCAGCTGCTGTGGCACAGAGCAGCAAAACTGATAACAAAGCCATCTCTCCTGTGCTCTTTGCTCCTTCTGTTGGTACCTAGATAATGTGGAGGAGGAAGCAGCCTGACAAATACAGAAAGGCGAGTACCTGGATGGGACAGAGGCATGTTAGTGGAGGAGGTGAAAGGGGATAACGATAAATAGGAGAAGACTGAGCCAGACAGAAAGGGACAAGCTAGGGAGGTTTATGCTATAAGACCGGAGTAGAAGGGTCTGTAACCACTAAGAACACACTCCCTATCCAGGACTTGGAATTGAGCTCTTGATTCCTGAGTCTCTGCTGTCTAGTAAATGCAAAGTGTGTATCTTATCTGTTTCTAGTGGCTGGTCCACAGAGAGGATAATAGTGTACTATTTACTTCATTAATTCAAGTACTAGAGGTTTGTGGATCTGAAAGTTGCAACTCTGCTGCTCACCTACCTGGGATTCTCTATAGTTCCACATGATGCAATTTCTGTGTTTTTTCTGCTTTGCATTTTTAAAAAGTAGGAATATTCATTAAACCTATGTTAAAAGAACATTGAGGTTTCAAAGTCAAGCATTCTGAAGGCCAAAGGCTTAACATTGCTTGTTCACCCTTAATGCTGCCACCTTGTATGTGTACATTGTGATAGTCTTCACATTTTTTTCTTCCCCTCGCAGAATCCCTTCTTCAGGGTATAGGATGAATGACATTCACTGTATGAATTTGCTCTATGCTGAGCAAAGATATACTTGGGGAAATAGGGAGGGTTTGGTTTTGTTTTTTTAATCCAGACTTAATGAGCTTTTCTTGTTTTGCTAACTTTGTAGGTCAGCCTGTCCAAATCGCTCAGAGATACTACAAGCAGACTCGCAGAGTTAGGATGGCTACACAATAAAATAAGAAGATACACAGACCAGAGGAGCTTGGATCGTGCCTTTGGGCTTGTAGGTCAGGTATGTTGGCTGGGTTACAATACTTTGGTTTCATTCCCTTTAGGAACTGCTGGATCTAGAAATACAATATGGGAATGGTGGGGAGACTCTGGAGAATTCATAACTTGGAGTCGTTCCATATCATTTGACTTACTCCTGTGTGAACTGTCATTGTTGGCGATGGGCCAAAGTCTGGGTGTAGGGTAAAGGAACTCTCAGCTGAATCATAATAGGGTTCATTCTTGCTAGTCCTATGGAGCAGTCTTGCCCTTCTATCCCTAGTTGGGAGTGGCTCCTCCATAGACTTAAATTTAATTTTTTTAAAGTTTACTTTTATATTTAAAAAAAAAAATCCAGGAATGGCATAGTGACATTTCTGAGCTAATTAAAGTGTGCCCAATTGCATTGTTAGGAGAAAGATTCTGCTTTACTTTTGTAGTTCCCCCTGAAAAATGTGTAAGGGAACACTTGACTAGCTGATAGATGATGATCATTAATGATAAATAAAATACTGCACTACTGAGGCTAAATGCAAATCACCAGTTATCTGCTGCCATCTCTTCTGAATGCAACATCAAAAGAATGTCAATTTTTGTTTTTATAGGTTCCATCACCATGATTTATAATCTGCAGTAACATCACAGCTGCTGTAAAACCTAAAACCACATTTACCGCTAAGACATTCCCGTTTCCTCTCACTTGCTCCCTCTGTAAAACTGGATATTATCCCTTCTGAGTCGTCAGAAATGTTGTTGTCCCTGCCTCTAGCCATAAGATCCTACCTAATCTGCAAAGAAAGTGAAGTGCTCCTTCCTTCAGTCTAATTTTTCTTGAGGTCAGTAGAGACACTATGGTGCTTTCTACTTTTCTGTCGTTTTTATTCTGTCCCCTTCTGACTGTCTTTTTTTCATTCTAAATATATATATTTATATAAATATATATAATACAATATTAAAAATTGTTTTCTAAAGGCTAATACTGACATCCATGTTTTATTTGGCTGTGTTTGAGTGTTTGAGAATGTGAAAAAACTCTCAATTTCTAGGTGAGGTTTCCTACCCTCTTTCCTAGAATAGTTTCCTGCTTATGCTTATTTTCACTGTCTCTGGTTTTAGTTTTTCATTTTACAAAACAAGAGACTTTAAATTCATGAGTAAATTAAATGTTTATATCTCCGACATCAATTGCAAGTTTCAAGGCCTGTATAGAATGCTGTATAGGCCATCAAGTGTATCTGTATAGCTTTCCATTCATGATTTGTGTCTGAGACTAGCATTTGTGCGACTTCTATGGCACCAGTGTATGAAGATAAAGCTGTATAATTTACTTAAGTTGTCAGTAACTAGGCAAAAGATCATGTTTTATCATTCTTGAACACTTCTTTATTTGACAATTTCAGATGCTGCATGCTCAGCATTAAGAACTTATTATTGCAAATATACTGTGCAGTTGAAAGCCTCTTTAATTTGCTGTCTCAGAAAATCTCATCCTTATTTAGAGCACACAGAAAATTACACATTTATTTTAAACCTAAACCACCTGTATGTGTTCCTGTTAACCTAGCTTTTTGACTGAAATATGAGGGTCAGAAACTAGTCTGTCAGTTACTAGCAGTACGTGTTAGATACACTGCACATTGACCTTTTATTTTTCCACCTACGCTACTTAATTGTTGCTGCTTTTCCAGGATAATCAGCAGTGGAATATAATTACCTTACATGTTCACACATTCTCAAAGAAAATATCAAAGTAGGGTTGAGGTGCTAAGCATTTTAAATTCCCTCTTAAGCACAAGTTCTACTTTCCCCTTGAAACCCCTTCTTTCTGTGTTGTTAGCCATGTGAGACTTCTAGGATAATATCCAGTTTTCATTGCATACTTTATATTCCAAACCCTATTTTACCAGGTAATTGCAATTGGCACTGAATGCAAATTTGAACTATTAAAGTTAATTTCTTTTACAATAATCTGATGTCCAGTATGACTGTAAATGCTTTGAGTATTGAAGTTAGAAATGTTTAACATAAGGAATGTGGAGAAGTAACATTTAACTAGTGCCTTTGAATGTTATCTTACTATAGACCCTACTTTGCCCTTCAGTTTAATAGGCACTGCTTTGGTAGATTACTAAATTGTACTGGAGAAACAAGTGAGAAGAAATGGAAAGTAGGGTTATATGTCGTGGAGTTTTTATTCTTCAGCAATCTGTACATAACTCTTGACCCCTCTCTGGATTAGCATAAATTTATTGTCGCGCATTTCTCTTTCTCATAAAATCAAATTGAAGAGAGAAACACTTTCACTTACTTTAGACATTTGATCCTATCCTTTAGACTGGTCACATTTTTCTTAATCTGGAAAGAAGATGATTCTTTTGATAAGGGACTTAAATTTATGGAAGGAAAATTGGGATTTCTCTTACTTCTGTCAGTAATAATTATTCAGTGGGGTACACCTAAGGTAGCAAATAGTTAGTTTACTTTTACAGAGTACTGTTAGCTCCAGTTTTTTACTTTGGATTTGCTTGACTTGGTTTTAGGCTGAAGGGGGTAGGGAGTAGAAAAATTTCCCTTAGCTGCATATGATGTAGCAGACTTCTTTATGTAAATTTACTAACCTGGACTGTTTCCAGTTAAATCTGTGAAGGCATATATCAAAATTGCTGATTTACTTTGATTAGCAAAGTAGTTTAGATATTTCATAAAGTGTTAGTCATTTGTTACTTGAAATAGATTAAAAAGCAACACACACTTCTGTCACAGTTCAAGAATGGTAATCAATTTTTGAAAATTAAATTAATCTTTTTAGCCTACTGTGCTAAACAGAATTAATAAATAGTGATAATGGAGAATATTTCATATCCTCTCCTAGATCTATTTCTACCCAAATAATAATAAAAAAATGTCTGGCAAAATGTTTTCAACTGCCATTAGAAAAATATTTAATCAAAACTGTAGTTCAGTTATTTTTTGGTTATACTCTAGCAATATAGGCCTTCTTGGAAGAAGATGACAAAATGGTCTGTGATGCTTTTGCTTCTGATGGAGTGTTGTATTTGCAACTGCTCAAAGCTCATTTAAGTCAATGAAAGTCTTTCTGTTGCAGTGGTTTTCAAAATTTTTAGGCCCTTTCCAAATAATGTAGTCTACTCTGTACCCCCATCTGAGAGAGGGACATAATGTACCTTTGATTAGATTGCCAAATCTTACTAAATAGAATCATAGAATATCAGGGTTGGAAGGGACCTCAGGAGGTCATCTAGTCCAACCCCCTGCTCAAAGCAGGACCAATCCCCAATTAAATCATCCCAGACAGGGCTTTGTCAAGTCTGACCTTAAAAACTTCTAAGGAAGGAGATTCTACCAGGTAGCGCATTCCAGTGTTTCACCACCGTCCTAGTGAAAAAGTTTTTCCTAATATCCAACCTAAACCTCCCCCACTGCAACTTGAGACCATTACTCCTTGTCCTGTCATCTGCTACCATTGAGAACAGTCTAGAGCCATCCTCTTTGGAACCCCCTTTCAGGTAGTTGAAAGGAGCTATCAAATCCCCCCTCATTCTTCTCTTCTGCAGACTAAACAATCCCAGTTCCCTCAGCCTCTCCTCATAAGTCATGTGTTCCAGACCCCTAATCATTTTTGTTGCCCTTCGCTGGACTCTCTCCAATTTCTCCACATCCTTCTTGTAGTGTGGGGCCCAAAACTGGACACAGTACTCCAGATGAGGCCTCACCAATGTCAAATAGAGGGGGACGATCATGTCCCTCGATCTGCTCGCTATGCCCCTACTTATACATCCCAAAATGCCATTGGCCTTCTTGGCAACAAGGGCACACTGCTGACTCATATCCAGCTTCTCGTCCACTGTCACCCCTAGGTCCTTTTCCGCAGAACTGCTGCCTAGCCATTCGGTCCCTAGTCTGCAGCTGTGCAGTGGGTTCTTCCGTCCTAAGTGCAGGACCCTGCACTTATCCTTATTGAACCTCACCAGATTTCTTTTGGCCCAATCCTCCAATTTGTCTAGGTCCCTCTGTATCCTATCCCTGCCCTCCAGCGTATCTACCACTCCTCCCAGTTTAGTATCATCCGCAAATTTGCTGAGAGTGCAATCCACACCATCCTCCAGATCATTTATGAAGATATTGAACAAAACCGGCCCCAGGACCGACCCCTGGAGCACTCCACTTGACACCGGCTGCCAACTAGACATGGAGCCATTGATCACTACCCGTTGAGCCCGACAATCTAGCCAACTTTCTACCCACCTTATAGTGCATTCATCCAGCCCATATTTCCTTAACTTGCTGACAAGAATACTGTGGGAGACCGTGTCAAAAGCTTTGCTAAAGTCAAGAAACAATACGTCCACTGCTTTCCCTTCATCCACAGAACCAGTAATCTCATCATAGAAGGCGATTAGATTAGTCAGGCATGACCTTCCCTTGGTGAATCCATGCTGACTGTTCCTGATCACTTTCCTCTCATGTAAGTGCTTCAGGATTGATTCTTTGCTCCATGATTTTTCCAGGGACTGAGGTGAGGCTGACTGGCCTGTAGTTCCCAGGATCCTCCTCCTTCCCTTTTTTAAAGATTGGCACTACATTAGCCTTTTTCCAGTCATCCGGGACTTCCCCCATTCGCCACGAGTTTTCAAAGATAATGGCCAATAGCTCTGCAATCACATCCACCAATTCCTTTAGCACTCTCGGATGCAACTCGTCCGGCCCCATGGACTTGTGCACGTCCAGCTTTTCTAAATAGTCCCTAACCACCTCTTTCTCCACAGAGGGCTGGCCATCTATTCCCCATGTTGTGATGCCCAGCACAGCAGTCTGGGAGCTGACCTTATTCGTGAAAACAGAGGCAAAAAAAGCATTCAGAGTAACAGCCGTGTTAGTCTGTATTCGCAAAAAGAAAAGGAGTATTTGTGGCACCTTAGAGACTAACCAAAGGTGCCACAAGTACTCCTTTTCTTTTTGCAAAAAAAGCATTGAGCACATTAGCTTTTTCCACATCCTCTGTCACTAGGTTGCCTCCCTCATTCATTAAGGGACCCACACTTTCCTTGGCTTTCTTCCTGTTGCCAACATACCTGAAGAAACCCTTCTTGTTACTCTTGACATCTCTCGCTAGCTGCAGCTCCAGGTGTGATTTGGCCCTCCTGATTTCATTCCTACATGCTCGAGCAATATTTTTATATTCTTCCCTGGTCATATGTCCAACCTTCCACTTCTTGTAAGCTTCTTTTTTATGGTGAAATCCTAGCGGATCTTAAACGTTAAGCCAAGCTGGTCGCCTGCCATATTTACTATCCTTTCGACTCATCGGGATGGTTTGTCCCTGTAACCTCAACAGGGATTCCTTGAAATACAGCCAGCTCTCCTGGACTCCTTTCCCCTTCATGTTAATCCCCCAGGGGATCCTACCCATCCATTCCCTGAGAGAGTCGAAGTCTGCTTTCCTGAAGTCCAGGGTCCGTATCCTGCTGCTTACCTTTCTTCCTGTGTCAGGATCCTGAACTCAACCAACTCATGGTCACTGCCTCCCAGATTCCCATCCACTTTTGCTTCCCCCACTAATTCTTCCCGGTTTGTGAGCAGCAGGTCAAGAAAAGCTCCCCCCCTAGTTGGCTCCTCTAGCACTTGCACCGGAAATTATCCCCTACGGTTTCCAAAAACTTCCTGGATTGTCTATGCACTGCTGTATTGCTCTCCCAGCAGATATCAGGAAAATTAGTCACCCATGAGAACCAGGGCGTGCGATCTAGTAGCTTCTGCGAGCTGCCGGAAGAAAGCCTCATCCACCTCATCCCCCTGGTCCGGTAGTCTATAGCAGACTCCCACCACTACATCACTCTTGTTGCTCACACTTCTAAACTTAATCCAGAGACACTCAGGTTTTTCTGCAGTTTCGTACCGGAGCTCTGAGCAGTCATACTGCTCCCTTACATACAGTGCTACTCCCCCACCTTTTCTGCCCTGCCTGTCCTTCCTGAACAGTTTATAACCATCCATGACTGTACTCCAGTCATGTGAGTTATCCCACCAAGTCTCTGTTTTTCCAATCACGTCATAATTCCTTGACATCACCAGGACCTCCAGTTCTCCCTGCTTGTTTCCAAGGCTTTGTGCATTCGTATATAAGCACTTGAGATAACCTGCTGATCGCCCCTCATTCTCACTATGAGGCAGGAGCCCTCCCCTCACAGACATTCCTGCCTGTGCTTCCTCACGGTATCCTGCTTTCCCACTAAATAAAATACATTGTCTGCCATTATAGGATTTTTCTTTCTTTCCCCGATGAGAGCCCGCGTACCCCACTTTGAAAACCATTATTCTATTGATTTCTTTGAGCTTTGGGTCAGGCCTTTGTAAATTTGACCACATCATCATGGAGTACACCTTTCAGACTATTTACACTTTTCATTGTTCTTGGTCTTCCTTTCTTAAGTGTCAGGTGAGGAGTGGCGAGCAGTTATCGCGTGTTCCAATGCCAAAATATACAATACTAATTTAAATAAGCAGCACCTAAAGAGGGAATATTAATTCTTTTCAAAGCATGACAGAAGAATGTACTGTCATGATGTATACAAACCTCTTCTTTATATTAGATACTAGTCTTTAACTGTATGTTTTTATTATTTAACGTTTATATTGCGGTCATGCCTAGAGGTCTCAATCAAGTTGAGATCCTTTTGTGCTAGGCACTGTACAAACACTGCAAATGCCATTCTTGCTCCCAAGAAGTCTATAGTCTTCATAGAACTGATATGAACAATGCTATTGTACTTCTACTATTATTTTTAACCATTTGAGAACCCAATTACTTAGGGTATTGATGTCAGAATTTAGACTGTCAGTAGAATTAAGTTGGCAACCAGCAGAAATTTTCTTGTTCCCTGACTGACAATGTATATACCGGTTAGCTGCATGCTGAAGAGACAGGCAGCAGTTGGTGCATTCATATAATCTTTCTGGATGATACCTAATTTGACTTTCTTAAAGACACTTTAGTTAGGTTTGTGGTTTTTAAAAAAGACGCAATCTTAATATCCGTGTTTTAAAATGTTAGATAAAAGTGAAAATGGAAATAGCATTTATTTGATTTTTTTTTTCCCCCCCTTCAGAGTTTTTGTGCTGCCTTACACCAGGAACTCAAAGAATACTACAGGCTTCTCTCTGTTTTACACTCCCAGGTAAATTAATACTTCTGATTGGTTAATGAGTTCACCCTTTGGTGTTTACAAATCACTTCTAGAAGATTGTGACTTTTGGTTAGACAGTTTTTATTTAGCTAATTGATACAATATGAGCATTGTAAAAGCAGAAATCTGGCTGGTGAAGGGTCTAACTATGTGGGCGTCCGGCAACTATGAAGTAAGACACCAGGTGTGTCACTCTGAAGCCTGGAATGTCTATAGCGATTGTATGAAGTAATGGAAACGGCTACAAGCATGGTTGAGGACTCGTATGTTCAGAATATCATCAGGTTGAATCATCACTCAGTTTTGCAGTTTACCATCCAATTTTTAAATTCTCAGCCATTTTGGTTTCATGAATTAAATCTGTGCACGTTTCTTCTTTTAGTGCTTGTATATGTCCATTACAGTGTAGGTCTGTGCATGCCTCTTTGCACTGGTGCAAGAGAGTTTTCCTTAGTGGTACCTGTAGAGGTGGCCCTGCCCACTGCCAAGCTCCATGTGTTGGAAAGTGAGGGTAGAAAGGGTGGAGTCACCCCACCCTCAGTTCTTTCTCACAAAAAAGTTTGTGGTCAGAGTCAGTGTTCGTAGTGGTACTCTTTTAAGCAAAAAAATATATATATATTTAATTTCTAACTTTCATTAATCTATTTTTTAGTATTTTATTTGGATTATTTTAGTTTTCAGGCTAACGTTTGCTTAGCAGGACCTCTGGGCCCCACCCAGTACTAGGATGACCCTATACCAAAGTCCCTGAGGATCAAGCCTTGCATGGGCTGCAGAAAACCTGTGCCCATCAGTTTCCCAATTTGTACTATCTGAAGTGCTTGGAGGAGGGTCATGTTAGAGACAGGTGCTCCATTTACCATGCTTTTAAGACCAAAACAAAAACTGAGGGGGGGTGTCTCCACTGCATCCTGGTGAAGATAGCCCTGAGACTGGCTTTGGAATGCCCTTGGTCGTTGAAGGGAAGCTCTTCAGTAACCCTTCTCAAAATGCTTCCCCAGCATTACCACCAGAGCAGAGCCCCATCACCAGGTCCATTATCTTTGAAGTCTAGGGCTTCTGAACAGTCTTGACCAATGTTTTCCCCAGGAATTGAAATTAAAGGGGGTGTTTGAATTTGCCAGGGGGGTTCGAAAATGACTAAATTGACAACACTGCCTAGTTGACCGCTAGGGGGAGATGGGGTGTTCAGGCGGCTGTAGGGAAATCCTTGGTCCTGACCTCTGAAACATAAGAATAATTCAGTACTGGTTCTTCGAAGTCCAGAGCTGGGGATTCCTCCGCAGAACTTCGGCCTGGTACCGATGATCAAGTGCTCCCCTTGGTTTGCCATTCCCTGGTACCAACTCATCCAGACAGACCTGAGTGCCCTCTCAGGGACTGTTGAGATTGGCAACTTCATTGACGATGATAAAGTAATCCTTCATTTTTGCAGGTCAACAGCCTATATTGTTCTCACTACTCCGCGGGCTAATGCCGCGGCCAGAGACTTACTGTGCATGTCGGTACTGCCTTTTCCCTTGTTTCAAGGACCCACCTATGGGATCGGTACAGCAATTGAGATCATCGGCGCTGGAGCACTCCAGTTGTGCATTGCCTTCCTTGGTACCTATCCCTGCCTCATCTTTGGGGTCGGTAACAACTCCTTCACAATTCACATTGCCAGTGGCTAGGAAGCCTTCCATGTTACGTCCACTATTGTGCCCTGGATGTACATCTTGGTCACAGTTACAGAGGACAAATCTTGGTACCACCCAACACTAGCCCTTGGACTGCTGGCTCTTGGGTGCTTTGGTACCGAGAGTCTAAGAGCTTCTTCCTGCCCTTGTTCCCATGCTTGTTGGTGGAGTTCTGAGATGACTTCTAGAGACTGGGAAGCTTGAGCCAGGAGTGCCTGGTATCATACTAGCCCCCTCAGTGATCCTATCGGATGCTATGGGGGATGCCTCTAGCATCTAGATTTACTTCACCGATCCCTCACTCTAGTAAATCTATGGGGGGACCCTTCTCCTACCAGTACTGACAAATTAGTCAAGGTCTGTACAAATCCACCAGTGGATGCTGCAGCCCTCGTTTTTTCTCATCTATCCTGGAGCCACAATCTCTCTCTTGGTACCACAGAAGCAGCCTAGAGAATGTTCTCCCTTAGTACCTCCACGGCCATCGTCGTCATTGCCCGATGAAGCCTTGGTATTGGTACTGTATGTCTCTAAGGTGCATCAGGAGCCCTGCAGAAGGACGTCAGCTTCTTCTCTGAGTGATTGCTCATGTCCATTGCATTGTAGGTATGTTCATGCCTCGTGCACAGTTGTTGAAGATTTTTTCCCTCAGTAGTACCTGTTAGGGCCATGTGAGCACCCTCTGCTGCCTAGGACCACTGCACGCAGGATAACAGGTGGAGCTGCCCTTGACTCCTTTTAGTTCCTTTCTGCTGCCCAGGACTGTTGTTGGAGCTGCTATCCTTGGATTTGCAAGTTCTGCCCTCTTTAGTGTAAATAGTACCTGTTGTGTTAGTTTTGGTTTAGAGGTTTTATACATAATTTAGATACAAGAGTAAATTTAGATTATTATGTAGTAGCATGGATTCACCAGTTCCCATTTGGGTACCAGTACCAGACCCATGCCTTGTTCTCCTGGCTTCAAGTCCTGTCATTCATGTAACAAGTGTATGCCAATGAGTGACCCGCACCCCAGTTGCCTTAAGTGTCTGGGACAGGTACGTGTGAGTGACCAATGTCAGATTTGTAGGGGGTTCAAACCCTGCTCAAAGAAAGACAGGGCAACCTGACTCAAGTATTTGCTCATGGAGTATGTTTTGCCCAGCGTCAGAGCCTTCTGCACAGAGCACATACCAAGCATGTCCTCATCTCTTAGGGTGCTCCCTCTGCTCTGACTGAGTTGAGAGGCAGATCTTCATTGCCTGTACTGAAGAAGAGGCAAGTTTTAACACTTGGTACTGAGATCTTAAATCTTCCGTGAAAGCACTGAGTGGAGACAAGGACACAGAAGTGTTCTTAGAGAGGCACTCCCAGAAACAATCCTTAAGCCAATACTCCTGAGGGAATTCTGCACCAAAAAAAAAATTCTGGCACAATATTTTAAAATTCTGCAAAATTCTGCAAATTTTGTCAATAAATAAATAAATGTGGAGGCTCCAGCATGGCAGTGGGGAGCACAGGCCACTGGTTGCATGGAGGTGGGAAATCACCCTGCGCCTGCCTTCCCCCTCCACCCCCCAAAACAAGGAACTTGGTGGTGAGGCTGTACCCGACCCTGACACAGCGCAAGGGTCAGGCCTGCCCCAGAAATACCCTCTGTGCCAGGTGTGGACAGAGAGGCTCACCCTAGCAGGATCCAAGTGTAGAGGGGCTTGTTACGGGGTAAGAGGGTTTAATGTGGGGCAGTCTGGGTGCGGGCGGCTCAGTTGGGGGATCTGGATGCACAGGGGCTCGTTGTGGGATTGCAGGGGCAATGGGACTTGGCCAGCGGGTCCAGGTGATGGTGGTTGGAGCTCAAATAGGGTAGGGGTTCGATGGGCCTGCTAATGGGGGAGCCCCAGCTGGATGCCCTATGCTGGAATCCTGCTCCCCTTGCTGTCCCTGATTCCCTTATTCCCTTCTCTTCCCCATCCCCTCCCCATTCCTTCCCCACTGGCTCTTTCCACCACCCTGCCTCACTGTGGGGACTCACTGTTGTACAGAAAACAGGATGGCTCCCAGCATACGGAAGGGGAGCATGAACAACACTAGGACCCAGAAGGCAGTGTCCAGCTGCAAAGTCAGCAGAGCCGGGCGGCAGTCTCTTTCAGCTGGGCAGCTCTGCACTTGCAGAAATGGGGGTGGGGTGCGGGGGGTGGCATGTGACCTGTGTGCCATACTCTTGTGCCACACCTCCTCTTCTTTGTTGCCTGATGAGGTGGTGATAAGAGTCTGCTTATCCCCCACCTGATGATTTCAGAGCTCATCACGACTTGGTGAGGAGAGTGGCTGCAGCTCTGGGCATCCAACTGGAAGAGGTACAGGAAAAGTCTTAACGGTTGATGGACGTTTTCGTCTCGGCGGGACCATCTAGGGTAGCTCTCCTTAATAATGAGGCTATCCAGGAGCCTGTCAAGGTATTATGTCAGACCCAGTCTTCCCCTATCTCCCACTGCAAAAAGGATGGGGAGAAGATATGTCCCTTTACAGGGATTTGAACACTTTTATAACCCTCCTTCTCTTGGCTTCCTGGTAGTCTCTGGTGCTAATGAAAAAGAGAGGCAGGGACACCTGGCCTCAACATCTAAAAGGAAAGAAGCAAGATCATCCGGCTCAACGGGTAATGATCAATGGCTCCATGTCTAGTTGGCAGCTGGTATCAAGCGGCGTGCCCCAAGCATCGGTCCTGGGGCCAGTTTTGTTCAATATCTTCATTAATGATCTGGAGGATGGCGTGGATTACACCCTCAGCAAGTTTGCAGATGGCACTAACCTGGGCAGAGTGGTAGATATCTTGGATGGTAGAGATAGGATACAGTGACGTAGACAAACTAGAGGACTGGGCCAAAAGAAATCTGATGAGGTTCAACAAGGACAAGTACAGACTTCTGCGCTTAGGACGGAAGAATCCTATGCACTGCTACAGACTAGGGACAGAGTGGCTAGGCAGCAGTTCTGCAGAAAAGGACCTAGGGGTTACAGTGGATGAGAAGCTGGATATGAGTCAAGAGTGTGCCCTTGTTGCCAAGAAGGCTAATGGCATTTTGGGCAGTATAAGCAGGAGCATTGCCAGCTGATTGAGGGAAGTGATCATTCCCCTCTAGTCGGCATTGGTGAAGCCTCATCCAGAGTAGTGTGTCCAGTTTTGGGCCCCACACTACAAGAAGGATCTGGAAAAATTGGAAAGAGTCCAGCGGAGGACAACAAAAATGATTAGGGGGCTGGAGCACATGTTTTATGAGGAGAGGCTGAGGGAACTGGCACTGTTTAGTCTTCGGAAGAGAAGAATGAGGG